TCATCCAACAGCCCCGAGCGCAAATGAGACCTAAGAGCAATCACCGCCTATGAGGGGTACGGCTCTGTGCTACTGACACGTGGTGAATGAGTCCCCAAATACCGTCTCTGTTTACCAGGGGCCCAATCAATCCCCTGGGCCGAGCGGCAGACGGCCCTCACCACCGTAGTGAGATCTCCAGACAGACGCCCTCTCACAGCCGGCACAGGTGAGCGGTCCCTCCGCCCCGCTCCTGTGGCGTCCCTGGGTCTCCCCTTCCTGCTGTCAACACCTTCCCACCCCTCCACCCGTCCGTCCGGGCAGCAAAACACCGTTTCTCACCTGGTGTACGGGCTCTGTACGACCCTCCGGCGGTGGGTCACCGGACACGCCCTCCGGCGGGTCCTCCTTAGCCATGACCGGAGGCCTCCGGTCAGGTCAGGTCACCAGGGAGGTCACAGCTCAGGTCACTGCACCTCTCGCTCGTCAGTGGCCGCAGTCGACGCAGCACCACCTCACCGAAGCCAGGTAGCATCAACACTGGAGCGCCGCCGCCGCCGCCGCCCCTCAACCTGGGCCGTCGCCGCCGCGGTTCACGTAACAGTGCCCCTGCGCTCTCCGCCCGGCCCACTGTCGCCCACACGGCCGGTGCACCGATAGGTGAACGGCGACTCACGGCCAGCCGGAGGCTATTTGTTAAAAACCAACATCACCTCATGACGAAGGCATGACATCGGCTTCAGAGGGTCGAATGGCAAAGGCAGTCTCGGGCTCCGGCGACAGCAAGTCCGTCGGAAAGAGAGGACGCACACCTGACCTAAAGATTGACCAATTCGCCGTCTGTGACGACCCCTCAGTGACCGGACATTGCACTCTGACCTGGAATGAACCCAATCTCACCCTATGTGACCTTTCAGAGGTGTGACCTCCCAGGTCGACCCACAGGCAATGGTCAGTCATGCCAAACCACGACAGAGGCTGGGTGGCGACAGTGTCAGTGGAGAGCCAGTTTTTTGTCAGAGTCAGAGGCAGAGCGGTTATCAGGCGGGCCACTGTTCCGTGTGACACCACCCATAGACCTCGACACAAGCTTGAGAAGGTAAGTAACATGCAAGGTAAGTAGCACAGAGACGAGCCACTGAAAAAGGTTAAGGAGTTAAAATCAACCAGGGAGCCATGATTCAGACGAGCTTCTTCAGAAAATAACTCGAACAAACGCCCAAAATAGAATGTTGTCAGATGAGCACGGAAGGCGTGGCACTCCAGTCACGTTTATCTCAGTCTCTGTCCGTTGTGTCCTGACCGGCGAGTATTAGGTAATTGGGTCGAGTAATGACCATTAGTCAATGAGAGGGCTGTGTTCACCCATTAGGTGGGTCAGACGACCATTAAGTCCCGTAAGAGGGCTGCGGACAGTAAGAAGACAGGTGGGCAGTGTCCGGCTGGTCGATGGGAGGAAGGGTCGAAAACGTCTGGCCAGCAGACGGAAGTCGCAGATGGAAGTGTAGTGCCCACTACCCAGGTCAGTGGGCGGAAAGGCCCGGGCAGCGAGAGAAGACATCGAGAGACGGCATCTGGCGACATCTGCCGTCTGTCCCGTTACTGTCACCGGTGTCTCCGTGTTCGTGGGCGGCGCCGGCCGTGACGGACGCGCCGTGACGTCGTGAGACGTCCGTCCGCCCCGCCCACCAGCCGCCGTCACTGCGGCGACCCTCGGTGGTCACTCGCCGAGCGACGGTCGACGGGCGTACGGTGCTGCCATCTGTACACTGGGTACCAACTTCTAGTTCAGCAGATGCTCGCCAGAGAGCAGAACATCGCCGAGCGGAGAACACTGAGCAGTGAGCAAGCAAACTGGTCTCTGGGCCGCATGGCAAAGCTAGCTTAGCACTTCTAATGCTTCTAAGCCGCGTTAAGTCGTGTTTCACTAAGCCAGTTATGTCATCACCTATTTTTTAATATCCTTCAGGCGCACTTGCTTTCGAACTGCGCCTTTCATACGGCCGGACAGCAGAACGGCCGTCTGGGCAGAAGTTTACCAGGGATCTGTAGTCTGTACTAGAGATGCCAATCGGATACCAACTTTTTGGTATACCGATACCAAACCGACACCAACTTGGTATTTGGTATTTCAATCGTAATGTGTGTGGTATTTTGTTGGTATCATGAACCCTCATTAATGCATAAGAGGCTTAAGAAATCGGTAAAAAGTTGGTAGGTATTTCCCTCATTTTCTCAAGTTGGTTTCCCTCATTTTCTCAAGTCACCCGTCATCTGTCGTCTGATGACGGCCCTCTGGCCGCTGACCTTCAGGAACCGCCGGGAACTGACCCCGCGCGGTCAGTCAGCAGACCCGCAGACATTGATCAAACTGGCCGGCTCACGGTCGTAGCGGTGCCGGTCGTCGTACCGTTCCCCATCCCCCACGACGGGGGCGGATTCGCGGTGAGGGCAGAGAGGTCGGTCGATTGCCGACCTGGAGTGTCGGCGGGCGGGGAAGACCACACCCTTGCGAGGGAGGGCACACAGCCAGCTCGAGGGCCACGCGCCCTTAAGGTGCTGCAGGCGAGCTGAAGACACCTACCACCACAAGTGGCCAGAAATGCACTACAACGACTCAGGGCGGCTTATAATGTGTCACAGCACGAACAATGCCCTCAGGACTACACGAGCATATTTCAGATTTGGTGTTTTCGTAGCCTCCTGTATATAAGTGGACAAGACTGTCCAGTGATTTTTTCAGACGCCTATTGCATTGCAGGCTGCAGCAGACACTTAATCAAGTCGATGTTTACAGATCACCGACATACGAACACTGATCTATCACTAGCTGTATCACTAATGGACCAAAACGGTCCGACATTTGTAATCCACGCAGTGATTCATCTGAGCGATTTCCGCGGACTATCCTCCCGTATCTGTCCTAAGACCACCGGGCCAGGGTCGTCAGTCGAGGACCTTCTCACGTCAGGAGCCGACGACCGGCCGGTCCGTCACCTCAAGGGCCGGCCGTGGCGCGGCTGGTGAGTCACAGGAAACAGTGCTTTAGCGCGGCGCCGGCCCCTTCGGCCGATACTGGGGAAGCCGCCCCCGCACCGCGGCTAAGCCCTCAGCCGAGCCGGCACACTGCACACATCACTGACGGCTCGGTCAAAGGGCCTTCTGGCATAAACAATGCTGCAAGAGCAACATGAGCTCCCTGGCGAGCACGGTTTCTATCTCACTCTCCTCCCATTGCTGTTGCTGTATTTTACCGGTGACCCTCGTTTTCGTGTCAGTTTAACCGTCTTCCTCGTCCCGTCCCGACACCTCAGTCACCCCAGAGTGTTGCGTTGCACCACCTCTAGGTATATCTCGCCATCTTCCTCATACCAGTTAGTAATCACAGAGAACCGCCGGACAGTCCTGTGTTGCTCGTCACCTGCTGCGCCGTAATGGTCGCGCGGTGACAGAGCGACAGTTACGCAGCACCGGTGACGATTGCGGCGCATCGACCGCTAGTGACACTGCGCCAAAAGGGAAACTACGCGCGAGGAAACTGGCAACAGCCGTCGAGGCCGGGAGCTGAGCGCCTTGGGGACGAGACGAATCAAATGTGCGGAAAACGCGGCCAACGGCCAGCTTGGCGCTACGTGTCAATGAATAATCCTGACCTGGCGATTTGAAAAGCCGACCCTATCCAGTGAACGACTAGCGTCGTCGTCGTGTACCTACTCAGCAAGATTTATCAAAGGGCGGGTGGCCAGGGTGCCAGACGAGACAGAATCTCTGGCTTTGTAGCGTATGCATTGAAATGTACAAAATGCCTTGCACCGGCGAACCATTCACAGAGCAGAGCCTTCCGGCACGACCCCGTGATCCCCGCGACACGTTTCTATCCCTGGTAGTCCCGCTGGACCCCACCCCAGGCTCCCGGCAGTCGGTGCGACAGGATGGAAGAGCGGGGGCGCCCACCGTCCGTCCCACAAACGGCGTTGGGAGTAAGCATGGTAGGGGAAGGGCGCACATTGTCCATCTCATTCCTTAGGACAGACTGGACCGTGGGAACGTGAGACTCGAAACGGCGAACTGTGGTGCGTTCGCTGTCCCCCATGGCCAAGACAAAAGCGATGCAGAGGACCTGGCGACAGGTAACCAGCGGCCGTGAGCCGGTGGTGGCTGAGTCTACTCGACTGCCCGGAAACAGACCGCCTGCAAGAAGCAGGCAATCAGCCGGCACGGCCAGAGATGCCTTCGTCTGGGATAGTAGAGGGTACCTGACCGGAGACCGTCGTTTAAAAGTCGCCTCCATCAGATGCCCCCCGGCAGCTGCTATGTCACATTAGGAGTTGTTGGAACCGACACGAGGGCATCACTTTTTACCACAAATACATGAGCCAAATAAGTGCGCATTACAAACAGCTTTGCGGCCGGCGCTCCGAGCTATCTTTTAAATACGCATTAGCTAGTACACATATCTGCGATCGCCGATCACTGGTATGGATCCGACCGATGGAATCAGCTCGTGTGTAGGATGTGCCTCATACTGAATAAACAACTGAATCAGTCCCAGTTATGTAAGACGGCACACGACTTTAAACAAAAGGTTCGGTTTCAAGTCGGTTTCAGAGTCTGATGCAACAGACAGAGTGCGGCGTCGACCGATGTCCGCTTCAGTATTCGTCGGTCGCATGGGTCACCGTGCAAGCGATTTAAAAACACTATCCTAGCAGATGTAGATTTTGTCGTGTTCGGAACCCAAATTTTCGCCTGGTATGACAATGAGGATGACGTTCTATTCTACGGAGCATTCAAGCTGGAACCAAAATGTTAGGAATGGATACATCACTGCTGTCAACTGGATGAAAGATAGGTAGTTTATCACATATTTTATTTTTCCTATGTTCCATGGCCTTATTAGTCGAGCAGCAACCCTGCCCCCGCTGCCGAGAGCGACAGGCGGCCCGCTGAGATGCATCCCATGTATGTACGTTTGCCGAGCAATACCCTCCTGTTGTCGCACGACCCCGGCGGAACACTACCTTCTCGCTGTGGTGGACGTCCTGCGAGCGGCCGCGTTTCAGCGTCGGCGGCCGGATGACCCGCCGCGGCGGGGCGGGCGGCTCCATGACGACTGTCACCGGCTGACCTGGTCACCGCATGGTGGGTCGGCCGAGGGTCAGCGTAGGACGCGTGCCTGTCGACACAGCAGGGCACACCGGTCAATACGGGCGGTGAGGGGGCACAGGTCCGCGGAGACGGCTGGGAAACGGCAGACATCGGGAAGGGGAGGGCAAGGTCAGTCCGGACAGGAACTCCCAGTCAGAGACAGCTGAGGCTGCAGACAAAAGAACTAAGCCTCAGAGGAAGCGCAAAGGGGAGGGAAGGGGACTCACAATGGTACAGCAGGGACATTACAGGCTAAGATGTGGTACTGCATTGTAAACTGAGTTGCAGACAGGTGATTTAGGGCAGTCTACCAAAACAATGTCTCGTACCTGGCGGGCGAGACGTTCGAGCCGACCGAATCGAGAAGCACCGCAGAATCAGAGGGCACACGTCACGATACGCAGCAGCGCAACACGACACCCACACCGACAGGTCAGGGTCACTCCATTATCGATCACTCGACAGGCCGCACTTAAATCGCGGCCCACACACGCACAGGGCGATCGTCGACGCAGAGCTATCGAACAAATACAGCGCTGAGCTCTCGACAAAACACTGATCAAGCGACAGACGGAAAGATCATCTCTTGAACGAATGTCGTCACACAAAGACGGTGTTTTGTAGCGAGCACAACCAAGGTGTCGCTCGTCACGACTTTAACCGGAAAACATTAGCGAGCACGGGACATGAAAAAGGCACAGTACGTATGATGTAAAGTCTGTCGGCGCCACACTAGTTGCATCAACCAGTGCAAAGCCGGGACGGGCGACGTGTAGGGAGGGATTCTCCGGACGGGCCGATACATCGAGCGTTACTCCAAACATTCTACAGTGTCGTGGCCCGTCCAACCACGGGCCACGCCCGCCGTCCGTCTCACGGCACTGCTCTGCGCTCTATATCAGACCCAGCTGGGAGGTGTTCACGGCTGACTGGCGCGTGTTGTGTGCAGAGCGGCCGTCCAGCGCGCCGGCCGCCTTCAGACCGGTGCCGTGAGACTCGGCCGGTCGGCCGGTCGGTCGGTCCGACCGGCGCGGAGCTGTGCAGACCGGCGTGGTAAACTGAGACGCCGCGACGTGACGAGGAGAGCAGCCCGGCGCCGCGCCGCCGGCCGCGGAGCAGACGTGCCGTCACGTCTGGCCAAACCGGCTGAATTGGCCCTGATGGGCATCGCCGCAACGCCACGGCGCCGCTGCCGCTGGCCCGCCGCATGTAGGTGTGTTCGGTCGAGCCCGGTGGGTGGACCGACAAGGTGGGTTTGTTGGCGGCCGGAAAGTTAACCCGCGCCCTGGTGGGGTCTGTTTATAACGCGACCTGGTGGGGGGGGGGCTATTTTTTGCCCCCCCCCCTCGTATCTCCGAAACTACTGGACGGATCCGCAGAATTCAAACGGCGTTCGAAAGGCCTGTCAAATTTGTCGAAGGAAACCAAATTTCATTGACCTCGGGGTCACCGATGACGTCACAGGTCAGGTCAAAGATGAAATGTTTCACCGTTCACGGGGCTTCTAGGGAATGCGCTATAACACCGAGGAAAACGCATTTTGTCGAGAATCAGCGGTAGGGCGTCAGTTGCCTAGTAGATATGTTGCTATTAGAGGTCACTGGCAATACCAGGTCAGGTCACAGGTCAGGTCACCAAGGGTCACAGGTCAGGTCACATGAGCCCAACTTTACTAAGGTTGTGTGATACATGTTTTATGGCCAATTTTTCATTTCCAACTCAATGGTGTTGGTTATAAGACTATCAGGTACGGCTTAGGTCACTTTCTGGTGAAGTTCAGGTCAAGGTCAGGTCAAGGTCAGGCCAAAATAGGTCAAATTTTAAAGTTGATAGTTTTGCATAAAATGGGTATTGATTCGATGCAGCTCGTCACGGGGAGTCTAATGGTGGTCTTTGTTTTGCGCTACGGGGTCTAAAATTGCTAAAAATTGAGTTTGAAAATTTGACGTCATCAATTTTGAACAGTTTTTTCGCTATAACTTCGCCAAAAAAAGAGGTATCAATCTCAAATTTGGTATGTGGATGGAAGGCGGTAAGGACTATCACATATATTCCGGTTTTTGCGAAATTCAAAAAACTTTTTTGGATTTTTCGATTATTATATCCAAAAAATCTATTTTTTTTATTTTTGGGGGTCAAAATCTAAAAATTTCAAAAATCCGAGATAGCAGTTTTGTAGCCCTGTCCAATCTACAGCTTTTATGTCTTTATCACTTTTCTGTGTTTGCAAAGCTATAGGCCTGACAGCTCTTCCCGCGAAACCCTTTTTTGGGTCGAAAACGGCAGAACATGACGTCACTCTGACGTCATTTCCGGCCAACCTATCATAGCCTTTGAAAAAAATTGGTCACAATGTGTAAAATTGATGTCCGGGAGGGTACTGAAAGTTTGGTGACGATCGGCGCAGCGGTTCTGGAGATATATCGAAAAGTCTGGAGGGGGGCAAAAAATAGCCCCCCCCCCCACCAGGTCGCGGGTTAACCCTATTAGTGGCAGGCTCCTGGCTACCCCATATTAGTGACAGGGGGGGGCTGTTTACGACCCCCCCTTGATATCTCGAGATCTAACGGGCCGATTTTCAAAATTCAAACGGCATTCGATTTGGCTCAACGAGATCTACATTTCTAAAAAAAAAAAATTAAAAAATGTCAATAGGGGGGTAGAGGGGGGTAAAAAAGGGCAAATTGCAGATACATTTTAGACTGTTTATCACGGCCAGGTTTCTGAACCAATCTTAACGCAACTTTTGCCGATCGATAGAGAATGAACCAGGAATTCACATGGATCCTAAAAATATGCATTTTCAAAAATCATAGGCGGATACAGATCATTGAGATCGGGGGTACACAAAAAGTATAGTAAATAAGGTTTTTGTTGGTACTGTTTCTAAAAAGGGTGGCAATGGTCTTGTTATGTTACAATTTTCTTATGAGAGAACGACTAAAATTGTATTGGTCATGCATAGGCGGTGTCAGGGCACCTATGTTGGGAGGTAAAAATAACCCCCCTTTATGGACGCCTGGATCCGCCTATTATAGCAAAAACGTGTCAAAAGAGGATGCACAATAACTTTGTATATGTTATCACATGATACCTTTCATTCACTGTTCGTAAAACTGGTGCAGCATCGTGATCTTCGCCCAAATGACTCGCTTCACGAATAGGACCCCCCAATTCCCAGTGCTCTGGAGCCGCCCCTGGTAAAGTTATGAACTTGAAATTTTCAGGGAATGTGCCCAATTTAGTTTTAGGAAAAGTCAGAAAATTTCAGCATCGTAGCTTCAGCGGTTTCGGAGATATTCCCGAAAAACCTGAGGGGTGGATAAAAACAACCCCCCCTGCCACTAATAGGGTTAACCCGCGCCCTGCTGGGGGGGGGGGTGTTTGAACACCCCCCCTTGTGGTTTTTCGCGAATATCTCAAAAACGGCGGCGCGGAGCGCCGCCGTTTTTGGTACACCTTATCATACATCAATTCTACACATGTTGTGAAAATTTCAGACCAAGGTCATTCAAGGTCAGGTCACCAGGTCACTTGAAGTGACCTCACCTCATAAAAACTTTCAATGTCTGTCATAGCTACACCGAGTGACCGATCGCTTTGAAACTTTCAGCGATTGCTAAGAGCAATAGCATGTACAAAATGTATATCTCAGAATTTTGATATCGATGACCTAAGGTCAGGTCAATTTTGCGACCTCCCCATTATAAGTCAATGGGAGAAAATTGAAATGCGCCTCTTTTGGAGGAAAGACATTATAAACACTCCCAAACACCGAATTACAAGTGGTTTAGACACACTGAACTTGAAAATGGTGTCCGTGACCCTTGTTTATGCCCTGAGGTCATCTTAGGTCACGAATGGTATCTAACAGTTTTTCGCAAATAACTTTTGATAGAGGCATGCTAGAGCGATGAAAACGCCTTAGATGTGTTCAGCTCGACGATACGGATCGACTGATATGCAACATGACCCTTCCCGGTCAGGTCATGACCTTGACCTGAGGTCAAATTTTCAAGTTGACCTTTCAAGGTCAAGTTATAGTTCATTCGATGCGTCTTGACGAGAGGAACACGATGCCGGTAAAAGTAAGCTCGTAAAAGGCTTGGGTCAAAAGTTATTGCATAAAAACTGTTTTCGAAAAAATCGGCTATTTTGGCAGTTTTTGCCCCCTGCAGGCAAAACCGTTGACGTTAGGTCAAATCTGAGAGAATTACTCAGAAAGGGCGTTAATAGGGCTATCGAATGCGCTTTTCCGCGGCGCTGTAGCTCTATTGGTTCCCGAGTTATGCGTTGGCTTCTTGGAAGTTTTCGACATTCGACCTGGAAATCGGCGAAATTTTGCCTTCAATGACCTCTGGTGACCTGACCTTTGACCTGACCAAAAAATTGACCGAAGTGATTTCGTCATTATTTTTTACGCTCTTTCGAACGCCGCCTTCCGCGTATCGCTACGTGGCCCAGGAGCCGAGTTACAAGGGGGGTGTTCAAACACCCCCCCCCCCAGCAGGGCGTGGAAATCCAGGACCCCCAGCAGGGCGCGGGTTAACGCAGTGGCCAAGACACAGTGACGGAATAAATAATCCATCTACGCCCAGTCACAGTCTACTGTCTATATAGTTCCTCGTCTAAAACTGCCTTGATGACAGAGCAGCGACAGCGCTCCGTTTCCCGTTACCAGCGTAGACACCTGTACGGTAGACACCTGCCGCCGACAGCTGCGGGCGACCGCGCCAACCAGACGCCGACCACCCTGTCCGCGCACAGACTGACTCAACTCCGAGACAAGCCGCCTCACCACAACGTGTCAACACCTGAGACCGGATAGCCCGGGGAGGCACTGCCGTGTGAATAGATAACGGTATTCTGACTAGAGCACGGATCAAAACTAAACTGGTCCTGCAGTAGACGATCTAAGCTGAACGGTGACCTTGCACTTGCCACAACCCTGTAGTGCCCTAGAAATAAGAATCCGGGTTTACTACTGCACAAAATTGTGTTAACATTTACATATTGTACATTTTCAATTAGAACGCTGTTCAATATAAAAAAACACGCACTAACACAGACTTCAAATATCGGTAGCTAATTGATGAAGTGACACAGATCTAAGACCTCCGGAGTCCGGAATTACGGCTGACCGTTATCGCCGTGACGGGCGATACCGACTGTGCGCCGTGATACTGGTAAGATAACGTGATACTGCTACGATACCTAACGCGGCCTGATAACGCACTTTCGTGCCCTGACGGACAGCCAGAGTGGACGCTGGGGCCTCAGGCCGACATCACAGCGTGGATGACGCAGTTTGTCTATCATGGTTGTGACGAGAGTCGTAGCTGACACACTTCATTCTAGATCACAATATACGAGTATCTCGGCACGCAAATGCCAATAAAACTGGGTGATAATGCAAGTTTTCATTGTAGAATAAACCTCAGCATCTAGGCAATATTCTATGCTTTCAGTCATGTTTATACACTTTATAATTAACATATTGTCATGTTGGTTACCTACTATCTATAATTTCAATTTTACGTACATGCTGACAAACAGACAAGAGGCAGCATCACACTACCTTAATTAAAATTTAAAAGCAATGCAATTCAACTGAGAAGCTACTTGAAATGTAGGACCAACTTGTCAAGTCACTATATAATCAAGCTAACATGAAAGCAAAGATAATCCTAACTGATTGCTTTTGCTATAAGCTTTGCTCAAATGCGTCAAATCATGTCAGATATTTCACATTTGCAAGTCAGTCTTGAATTCATGGGTTATCAGGCAATTATTTGGAGGAGGATGTTATGTTACAGGAGAGGCAATTAGGCTTCTGAATCTTCTTTTAATATTGTGGGTACTGGGTAACTCTAATAACCTGTACACAGTAGGTAATCAGTATGTTGAGACAAATATGTTATTGCTATGTGGTTGGTACTAGGTAAAAGGTACCTACCAGATACCTATTCTGCCATGCAAAGGCAAAAACTACTATGTTGTGTCAGGTCATGTTACAACTTGGGTCAGGGGTTGGACGACCCAACATAGTAGTTTTTGCCTTAAGTTTGTACAGTAGTATTCACCTATAATGTAATTGTACAATAACCGCAATTAGCTTCCAAGGTTCTGTGCTCATGAAGTGTGATGATGACAGCATATCAGATGCTGAGTCATGGGGTCTCAGTCTGTACTCTGTGCAGATGCTAAGGTTCCCACTCATCAACACAAACTGATGAAACTAGAGTCCAGAGATGTATCCTGCTGAAAAATAGTATCCTTGACACCTAGGTCATCAACAACTTGAGCTGAATGAAGCACAACAGCCTTCAGAGTTCAGCTGTTGCTCTCTGGCCACCATCTTAACTTAAGTCAGGCTGGAAGGAAAAACACTAGGCACAAAAGACATAGGTACACTGCTCAGTGCTCACATCAGAGAGAGACAGGATGATTTGATTTCATCCCTTTGCAAGTGAGCACTCTTTCAATAACTGAGGAAATTACAGACAGTAGGTAGGTAGTGGTACCTACCTATGCAGCAAAGGAGCTCGGAAGGACTAAACAAAACCCTAGACATACAGAAAGCCTTTTCCTTTTCACTCTTTATTGTCTCGTGGGGGCATCGCTGCAATGCTATTTCAATCAGTTAGGGTATGGATTCAGGTTAGCATTGTGAACGACATACGACATGAGCCACAAGGTAATGTCCCAAAATTTGTCGATTTGGGACTTGGGTGGGAAACGACATCCAAATGAAATTTATTTCCCACTCTCGCCACCAATTTTTAAGAACAATTTTCACTCCCAACCAAGAAAACCTAGATTTTTTACCTATAGAAAGAGCAGTTGTGTGGATGCCCGATTTAGCATCAAGCATCCTACACCTTAGAATAAAATGCACGTTTTTTGTCATTTTTCACTCTTTTTGGATCTAATCGAATCAGCAGTTTTTCACTCTCTCCTCTCTTTTTGGTGGGCAATTTTCCCCTCTGACACCCAAGAAAAAACTCAATTTTGGGACACTGCCACAAGGGAAAATGAAAAGCATTAAAGGAAATAGTTCACTTTTTAACATGGGTTTGGAACTGGAATAGCAGTTCCGTAGCTTGGGCTGAGACGAGCATAAATCAGGAGCTTTTACAGCCCAACGATCACCCTAGGCAAAGATATTCTATTTCTCGTCCCGAAAAAGGTGTCTTGCGTTGAAGATGTGTGCCTTGCATATATTTCCATCCAGTATGAAAAGAGCATGGGTCCCGAAAATTCTTCAGAAACTAGAGAAATTATCTACGAGAACTCTAGAGAAATTCTCGTACTGATCAATTAGGACATTCAGGGGAACATTATCAGATCAAGCAGATCGCCCAAATGCCGGTGGCTGCGATAATTTCTCTGTTTCTGAAGAATTTTCGGGACCCATGCTCTTTTCATACTGGATCGCGTGTGCCTTACAGAAACTGAAAAGTTCTTCCTATATCAAAATATAGAAAAAAAAAATATTTTGTTATAAAAAGGTTTTATTTTCTTTGCTGATTATTTTGAACATAAAAAATAATAAATCGTTGCAAAAAAAAATAATTTCGTGAAAGTGAACTATTTCCTTTAAGTATTGAGGAAAAGTATATTGAAGCTCATCCACATGTCATTTGCTTAAGTCCCAAGAATTCTGTGACGCAGTTCAACAGATGAAAGAGCAATGAAAAAGGTGTGTAATTCAATTAGAACTCACCGATTGCTCCCAATAATTCAAATTTCAGGCGGGTGGCCCGTTGTCAGCACAGCAGTGGCCAGACGGTCAGGATCAGTCTTTTCTCAGATGTCCGGTACTTCTCACGATTACTGATTACTGATTACCGATTACTGGTTCAACGCCACTTATCGAGCAAAATATCAACAAAACCGGCTAAAGCTACGACCAGCAGCACCACACACAGATAACGCTCCCTTCTCTTCAAAATGCGAAATAGCACTGTGGAAATATTTATTTTCCGGATACTGCGGCGATTACGCCGCATACATATCTGAACGCTGCAGCTAAATACAAAAGTCGGCGAAATGACTTTCAGGCTCACGATCGTCAAAGGTTTTGAAAGAGAAAAGATGGCCATGAGAGGGTGTATATCAACGGTAACTTTGTAAACGTAAGAGAGAAGCAGCCCATAACCAAGCAAAATGCAAATTTCAAGTCCGATTGACTTGAAATGCATTGACAAGTAACTAGTGCAAGTTGACCGATTGCAAGCGATTGCACCAATTACTTTCGGTCTTCGAAATGTGGCGCTAGGCAGCAGATGTAAATTCATCTAAGGCAGCAGCTGTGGCGCCACCGCTAAGAGGAGCACAGCGCCACCTGTCATCTTATCCCCGTTTTGGAAGCTATCACCATGGATGAAGTAGGGGAGAGAGGTCATATTGCGCCATGTTCTTAAATGCGCCACACCTTCCTCCTGTCCAAAATTCGATTCGAATGAATGTTCGAATGTGTGCATTTACTTCACCACCAATAACTCGCTCTTATTTCGGTCCACGGGGGCAGGTGAGGTGTCTCAGCTTTCTCGCAGACCATATTTTGTGATTTCCTCTATTTTCTTACGCGAAACAGTCTATTTCGACCTTTGCTAGTGTCATGGTTTATCTTAGAGATAGTGATTCAACTAATAATCATTGTTAATTGCTCGTTTAATGGTAGTTTTGAAAGTTTATCACCACCGTGGCTTCGCTGTCCTCGCCATATTTGAAGCTCATGAAAAATGTGTTCCATTCGTAATTGCGCCCACCCTATTTGCGCCCTATTCTTCAACCCAGAGAAACAGCATCTCGTTGTTGGGACACATTTCATTGAACACTTTGATTATTAGAGCGCTCACCTTACCATTACCTTAGCCTTCACAGCATAAATGGTTAATGGGCTGACACGTTCAAATAGGCTACTTAGTTAGGTGGCAAACCGTTGTTTTTAATAGGGCGCTTTTACATGAGAGGCATGGGCGCTTTTTGATGGGGTAGTCCGTAAATGCGCCCTTTGCAGGTGTGTCGGAAAACTTTTCTCTTGTTAATTTTTATGGGTGTGATACAAATTAGGAGTTGTAATTTGATGCCAAAATAACTGAGGTACAATTTGAGATATCATCAAGCATGGCAGCTGGTCAACTTTAGCCGCAATAGGCCGATATCCTTAAGGTGGCGCAATATGACCTCCCTCCCCTACTCCTGGATAGGACACTCCCTATTCCCCAACACTAGCGCCGGCGACCAAGCGGCCGCCCTGGTGGCGGAGCTCCGAAACATCGGCGGCGAGTGCGCCGGCGGCCGCTGCACCGGCTTGCGTGCTAAAAACGCGGTAATGGGGGGCGAAATTAGCGAACTTTAGCTCATAAGACACAATTTCAGACACTTTAACATAATTTTTAGTCCTTTCTTATCATTATTATGGCTCCATTTAGTCACTATCACATACGGAATCATTACCTGATGCCCATAAACTGAGCCGGTATTCTTGACTTGCCGATGCAATTTATCATCAAATATCATCGTTCCTCGGCAGTCAAACAAGTTCCTATTGATGATTTAATACAAATATCAACTTATTTTCATGTTATAGCATAAAACTTAGCTTTATTCTAACATTAGCTCTTCGGCTGTAATCACGAACCCTCACTTGTCAGCAGAATTTAAGCAACTTCTTAAATCAAAACTGGGAAAAGAATATTTCCATGACATTCCTCAATTCCTGTTCTACCAGGTTTACAAAAATTTTCATCAAAATCGGTTATAGGTAAGTAATAAACGACAAAAGTATACCAAAAGACACGCTCCGCCCATAGCCCGCAATGCTAAAATGGCGCCAGCGCCCTCGCCGTCGGGAAATCCGCCGCCGCCGCCGGGTGGTCGGAAAATCGGCGGAGTGTCCCATCCAGGAATACCTAATCCATGCTATCACAGTGGCCTCCCAATATTGCCAAGACAGAGCAGCGCAAACACATGTGGACTGGGAACTCAAAGCTACAACAGTGGATATAGCCGTCGCCGTCACAACGTCGAGCGGCAGTAAATAGGTTCTGGCTCATCAGTTCCTGACAGTCGACGTTATTCCAGGAAGCATTCCAAAGATCGGCAATTTTCAATCCAATGATAGTAAATGCATGCACGTTGGAAGGACTCTGAACAGGCGTACAGTTCACGGATTTATGTCATAGCCCATAACGTCATAACCTTATGTCACGGATTTCTGTCATATGTGTTAGCCACCAGGCCACTTCAACCACCACTGATGGTCTTCCATCGCCAGAACATTTCATATAGCCGTAACCGAACCAATGATACACGCCAAGAGAATGGGTCCACGCGTATCAGACGAGAGAACCAAGTTGGGATTGGCGACTACCGTGTAATTTACAAAATGCTTATTTTCTAAAAAGCATCGAAGCATATATTTTCGATATTCATGCAAATGGCGATAAGTGTAAAACACACAGGCATCCTGTCGTTTTGACAAGAACTGCACTCAGTCGTTACTCGTTAGCATACTTATTGTGGAAGACACTGGCGCAGTTCATTATGAACTAGCTCACTACACCTTGGTATCAGCCTCATCCCCCTCCCAGAGTGGCTGAGGTTCTGCGGACCGCTCTGAGGCCACACACTGTTCTGCCAGCGCGAGCAGCTCCTCGAACACAGTGTCCGGAGCGCGTGCCGCATCCACGCGCCGCCAGTAGGGCGCCCACAGCTGCTCGTAGTTGGCCGCCACTCGCGTCTGAAAGTCGAGCGTCTCGTAGCGCTCCTCTCCGAAGCCGGCTCGGCGAGCCGCCTCCTGGGGCGCCAGGTGGAGATAGAGTACCAGATCGGGCCGAAGCAGGCCCACGTCCGGCTGGCGGCACCAGTGCAGCGACAGGCCCGGCTTGGCCGCCGAGTAGGCCACGCCCGAGAAGGCGTATCGATCCACCACCAGACTGACGCCGGCGCTCAGCAGCTCGCGCATGCGCGGCAGTAGCTCGGACCGGTTGGCGGCGAACAGCTGATGGACCACGCGGTCGTCGACGGTGCCGCAGTCGCCGCCGGAGAGGTACGAGTGGATGAGGCCGCCGATTGGCGTGCTCCGCTCTGGGAAACGCATCAGCTGGGCGGGCGTGCCGCGCGCAGAGAGGGACTCCACCAGGCGGCGCGCCTGGGTGGATTTGCCGGCCTTGTCTATGCCTTCCAGGACGATGAGCGCCCCACGGCGACTCGCTGGTGATGTGACCATCTCTGAAGGACGGGTAGCACCCCAGGAAGGAGTTAAAAGTTAGCCTCGGGTTGCGATACAAATTCATGCATACAAAGTTGAGTCAGACAGCCAGTTATCACATGAGCCAACATCAGGCATGGCAAATGCCACCTCAGAATAGACATCTATATTCATTTTTTGGCTTGAATTGAGGAGATAAATTGTAAAACATTGGGAAGGCATTCAGCAGATTCACTTTCCTCCAAAGCTCAAATGCATTTGCTGGACAGTTCCACTCCCCCTCCTAGTGCAATGATCAGTGGGAGACGAGTGGGTACCCAAACCCATCAATCACAACTGGTGGTTTGACTTCCAAAGTTAAAATGCCTTATACTTAGATGAAACTGAAAAAATAGCAAAAAAAGTTAAAGGATAGGTAGATTCCATCACATGAATGCATAAAAGTGAATTATTTTAGTGATCTTTCAGTTTCCTAACATCACTATAAGTAGATCTTGATCTGAAAAGTTCATAGGTACGATGTGAGTTTATGTCATGATTCCAGAATGGTTATTTGTTCAGGAATATTTTTTTAGTTTATTAAGTCATCGTCGACGGGGACACCCCATTTAAAGATGAAGTCCTATCTATAATAATACAACACAAAACAATGACAAAATCATTAAAATCACGAAGAGCAGCTGCACATTTAGCAGGGCCTCGTCTAAGGAATTTTCACTGGGGGGGGGGGGGGCAAAGACTGAAGGAGCCAAACCTAGGGTACCCCCAAATCCTGTTTTCTCACCGGATTTAGGCCACTTGTTTTTCGTCACAGCCCTGAGACCATGATTTTTTAACAAAAAAGCAAAAAAAACTGGCAATCCGAACCATGCTCGTATAGGGGCGGGGGCGGGGGGTATCGAACGGAGCCACTCGGTTTTTCGCAAATAACTCGCGTAAAAAAACGGCCGATCGCGACGAAACTTTCAGTATCCTCGCGTCAATCAATGTTACACCTACCTTAAAAATGTCATGACCCTGACCCTAATGACCTTTGACCTACTTTTTGAGACCATGTTTGGCCGCAATCGCGGTTATGTCGGCTCGCATTAGCCGAGCGTTTGCAGTCTTTTCGTGGTTTCAAGCGTTCAAACATGGTATATGATGTTGCCCCCATGCATTAGGGTGGGTGTCAGGGTCACCGGGAAGTCAGGTTAGGTCATTGACCTTTGATGACCCCTGTTCACCTTTTCGAGTTTTACAGTTTCTAGACTAGTTTTTGGAGCTGAAGTCGAATTTAGCAACCATTTGAACATTTACGAAGTAGTTTTAGTGCCTTCGTAACATGTTACGAAGCTGTCAGAGGCGGTTGCCATCTACTACGAATACCCGGCAAAACCCTTACTGGTTGACTTGACCCGACCCGGCCTAAATGCATTATGATCATAACTAACATGACATTCGTGATCAGCACCCCGAAAACCCCATAACAGCCTCCCTTTACGACGTCCTAACAGGTACCGATTTTCCCGACTTTCGGGTCATTGACCTGACCTGGAAGGTTAACCGATGACCTAGGACCTTAAAATTGGGTATCATCGGCTTTCTCTCGTGACGGGCAGCACGGTCGTTTTTTTTCCGCGAAGCTCTAGCTCGATCAGGGGCGAAACGGCAAGGGGGTCCAACGGACCCCCCCCCCCCCCCCCCTATACGTTCGCGGCTGGAAAGACACCAATACGGGCGAGGGTTAAGATTAGTGTGTTACCCCCTCACATTGCCCCACCAGACAGTGATCAACATACTTATACGTGTTGGCCGGCGTTTGATTGAGTGGGGGGGGGGGGGTTAAACACGAGTTGGGTCACGGGCCAGCTGCCAATTGACAATTTGCTACTTGGCGCTCTCAGCTGAGCCCTGAAATTCACAAAACTCTGGCTTTTTCCCGTAGCCATGAACAATTGTTGAACAAATTATTTAATGTTTCTCGTTAAATCCATGAAAGACTCCTAATGAAAACGTATTGCAGAGAAGGTAATTTTGTGAGTTCACGTTTTGACTGGGGGGGGCAAATGTTGGCCACTGGGGGGGGGGGCAATCCGCCCGACTGGGGAGGCAATTGCCCCCCCAGTTAACATGTTAGACGAGGCCCTGACATTTAGCGGCTTCTCACATAGTCAACGACACATCTCATGAATGTGCTAAAACCATCGAAAAACATATCAGATGTCGGTGAGGCCCTAAAATATTCATTGATCAGACGTGGTGCCCTCGTAAACAGACCATCTCTGGCTGTACACACACGTGCATATGACACTTGAAATAGTGATAGTTGGCGACCGAGCCTAACAGGTACAGATATACAACTCCGTAAAAGAAAAGCCGAATCGATCCTCCATTTAAAAAACATTGCGGATGAATAAAATGTCATGCTGCACCATGAATAGCACGTCATGAATAGCAAAATAATCATCTAAAATCCAAAATCCCAATCTACAGCATGCAGAAAAGCAAAATAAAAATATAAAACAAGGAACAGGCCAGCCCACAAAAAATAGCAATGTTGACAAGATTTCGGGCAGACTGCAGAGGTACTCAGCAGGTGCAACTATATGGTGCAGTGCAGATTTTATGTTGAAAGCTCAGGGCCTTCCTTGACAGCTGGCACTTCGCTGAACTGCTGTGCTGGCGCAGCATTGTAGATGAAGATGATATATGTGAGACACAACGGGTCAGCCAGAAAATAATAACCATTTATGCAGTTTTTTGTTACTCATCAGAAATGAGTGTTGGAAATTAATAAGCCGTGGCGAGTGGCCCATGCAATGTGTTCTTTTCTGCTTATGTGCATGTCATGACAATGCCTTCTGAGACGAACAGCTGGAGAGCCATATTAATATGAAGCTGGATTCCTTTTGTCTTTCCATCCATCTAGCCTTGGCATGCTGGTATTGATGGAATCTGACTAGGTCAGTTGACTGGGTGAGGCCGGCATCAGAGTTCCCGCCTGCTTTGTGTGGACTTGTAACCCTGGCTCACCCTGGCTAGTTCCAGTACTGGTACTGCTTTTAGTTTCTGCTCCCATACTTTTCAGTCTAAGGAAGAAGAAAACAATAGGTGAAACAGCATACCTACCAGCAGTTATTGATAGATTGAGATCAAGATTGTGCGGCAACGACAACACAGGTCAGACTCAGTCACAACTCACATGTCACATGATGCATGAGAATATGGAGAATACACACAAGGTGAGCAAGACAAAGAAATAATTGAAGGTTTGTTGCCAATAGCTCTAAAATACTATTCCTAGAAGTGTTTTTCAATTGAAAAACAAATCTGAGTTCCTTAATCCCTGACAATTTGGCAAAAGCTGCCTGAGATCAGTTAAGAGACCCAAAGGTCATGCTCGAAACAATGTAGCCATCACAATACAAAGTTGAAGTTTATCAATACGACAATGATACAGCCTTGCAATTTGCACGCACTAACGTCCAAATGTATACTTCATCCAAACCACATCCAAACTCAAACTTCCTGCACAAACTTCACCCTGTTTGGTAAAACCACGGTGACTATAAACCAGGGTACTATAAACCCTATAAACCATCAATAAGCCGTTCAATTCTCCCGCGCAAATTGAAGCTTAAAATAAAATAAACACAAACCTGTTTAGCCCATTCAGTAAGTGCTACTGCTGCTTACCAGCGAAAAACTCAGTTTTGACCAATCACAATTGATGAGGGAAGATGAGGGGAGTAGTAAAGTAATCTTGGATGAGGGTTGGATGAGGGTGGATACCGATGACGAGCTAAGTAGCCAGAAACCGATGGTCATTGGTGAAAATTATTTGCTATGGCGTCATTTAAATTAACATCGATTTCACCAGCAGAAGACATGAAAGCGCTGAACAGGGTGAAGGGTACGTACAGCGAAGAAGCGGCAATTGCGGCTACATGCGGTGTATATGTAGCGTTTCATAAAGGGGCTACGACCACTAAATAACAATCTTATCAATGGAACGCTAATCAACAAAAGGGAATAAAAAAGATATAACGATTAATGAAAAGCCATTTCAAAATCAGTTTGAGAATATAAGCGTCCCATAGTTTTCATCCAATGGTGCTAAGAATGTAAAGTGTCTGTATTACCAGTAGCGCCACCACCAGGGTTCTGGTCCAACTGGCAGATGGCGCTGCAGGTGCGCTCTCGTCGTCACTTCAGGTGACGCCATCTACCGGCATTCCGGCAGGCAAGTAGGGATATTTTGATGCAGCTATATTCACTGGATCAGACACCGTGGCCAAGAGGGTGGAGGGATCCTGGGGGCCTCCTCTCTACAGAGGGCCTCCTTCCCACAGAGGGTCTCCTCTTTACAGAGGGCCTCAGTTAACCTACAGAAGAGCTCCTCTCTACTGAGGAGTCAGAGGAGTCAGTCAGAGCGGCCGCTAGCGGTCAGACACAGACACTAGCGGTTATTCACAGGAGGCCCCAGGTAGCAAGAAGGACCGATCAGGCTGGTCAGTGAGTCCTGCCTGTCCTGACGTGATTTTTGGGATTCCTGTGAATTTTGTTCGCCTCCGACGTGATTTTGGCCAACGTGGGCCTTGGGTTCGCGGGGCACTGATTCCATCCTGGGGCTCTGAAAGCCCCAAGGGACTCACTGAAGGGAGGAACGAGGAAGGTACGCACCCCGCCCCCTCCTCCTTCCTTGGGTACGTCCTGCGTTGGATTGTGCGCAGTGTGCGTCTCTGAACTCAACTCATGTCGGCAAACCTATCTATAAAAACATAAAACTAAGTCAGAAGGGACATTGTCACGCCAACGATGTTTCCTTGACTCGTGCACCTCTGCGAGAGGGGAGGGCCGAGTTTGCCTCAACCCGTATTTCTGCACAGCTGATAGCACTATGTAAACCGTCTATCCATGTCTGTACAGACAAGTTTTGCACAACGAACCCTCCCCAGCGTCATCCGTTCTTTCTTCAGGATGAACGCATTCACAATCCACATTCTCACTTGCACACTGTCTGCCTGTCCATGGGCAAACGGTCATCCCGCCAGGCAACCAGCGCGAAGGTGGGGACAAGTCCTTCGTTGGACTGGACTTCACCCTCCCTGGGGTGAACGTTTGAACGGCTGGTGACCAATTTGAGGTGACTGGCGTTTGACGTCCAATGGGGCACTCCTGACATCGATGCAATCCCACCCTGGAGTTGAGATCAGTTCAAAGATATCAAGGTCAGCTCCCGTTTCTTTTCTTTTTTTGGCAAAAAAACCTTCGCCATAAATAGTTGTAGGTCAACGACTTGTGCAGTAGGTAAGCACGATCATTATCATCATCATCAATTTATTACACATCCTTGGCGGACACATACATACAAACACATTTAGTGTTTCATTCAGCCATTGAAAGTCTATACATGACCTTGGCTGACAGCATCACAGGTCAACAATCTGATAACACAATCATCAAGCATCGTTTTGGGCCATCAGCCATCGTAGCGAGTCGGATAAGCCACAGGGGGCTCTATTGACCCAATTTCATTGACCTCGGTCAAACCGATGACGTCACAGGTCAGGTCAAAGGTCGAATTTTCACCGTTTACAGGCATTTCAAGAAATGCGTTGTAAAATCGAGTAAAATGCATTTAATCGAAAATCATCGATGGGGAAATGTTGGTCAAACACATATTTTGCTATTTGAGGTCACTGATACCAGGTCAGGTTACTGAGGGTCACAATATGAAAATATCATGTGATGCATGTTTTATGGTCCATTTTATATGCCACGTAGGTACAATTATGTGGGTCAGGCAGCCTTTGGGGTCAGTTTAGATTATGTTCTGGTCAAGGTCAGGTCAAATAAGGTCAAATTTCAAAGTTGATATTTTGCATAAAATGGGTATCAATTCGATGCAGTTCGTCACGGGGAGTTCAACGGTGGTATTTGTTTTGCGCTGCGTGGTCTAGAATTGCTAAAAATTGAGTTCAAATTTTGACATCATCAATTTTGAACGGTTTTTTCGCTATAACTTGGCCAAAAAAGAAGGTATCGATCTAAAATGTGGCATGTATATAGAAGAGCGCAGAGACTGTCACATAAATTCTGTTTTTTCGAAATTCGGAAAAATGGTGGGATGTTTTTTGCTCTTTTCTAGAAAAATCAATTTTTTGAATTTTGGGGTCAAAAACCCAAAATTTTAAAAATCCGAGATAGCAATTTTGTAGCGCTGCCTTTTGTCTACATGACCATATAAAATTGAAATTGCTTGGTAACTCTAGATTTTGTGAGCGTTTCCAGATTTCATGTTTTTTGCTCATTTTGGCTCGAATATGACCTCAGTTCGAACTCAATAACTCCTGACCTAATGTGACCTAATGTGACCTAATGTGAAGACTTGAAATTGTGTGTGAAGGTGTCAAATTGATGCCCGGAAAGGTACTGAAAATTTGGCAGCGCTGCGCACCGCCGTTTTCTTGTTATTCAGGAAAAACCACAGGGGGGGGGGGGCAAATTGGCCCCCAGCGGGGCGAGGGTTAACAATCGAGCCCGTATGTCTCCTGGAACTCGTGTTAAAAAGATACGCGCTAAAGAACTTAATTACTATGTCGTTTGCTTTTATGAAGCCGCTTAAATGCTAGGCAAGTATGCGGGTATTGGGGAAAGATTAATCCGCGCACGACTGGGGTATTTTCCATAACGCGAGTGACTGAGAGGGGGGGGGGGGCTCTCCAGAGCCCCCTCCTAATCCCATCTCCGAAACTACTGGGCCGATCGTCAAAATTCAAAAAGCGTCTGATACTCCTGAAAAAACTGTCGAACGAAACCTATTTTCATTGACCTCGAGGTCACCAATGACGTCACAGGTCAGGTCAAAATATAAATTATCGGCATTTTTGCTTGTTCACAATTTAGGCTCTGACCGCCGGCTGACAAGTCCGATCAGGGTCATTTTTGGTTTACGCACGCCTTGATATATGCCTAAGATACCCTGAGGGTACCGATCTTTTACTTCGATTTTTTTTCAGGCCAAGGCCAGGGCATCCTATGTCACGAAAATTGTGTATTATGTATCGGTCACGTGACGCATGTTTTATGGTCCATTTTACTCGTAGATTTAAAAAAAATGTCGTCTGTGTCATTTGAGGTTATTTTCAGCTGAACTTACCCGAGGTCAGGTCACTTTCAGGTCAGAAAAGGTCAAATTTTGAAAATGAACTTTTTTCAACAAAAGAGGTGCTTATTAGATGCAGTTTGAGCTCAGGAACACGATGTGACGATGGTGCCATTTATGTTTATGTACGATGTCAAAAACGTACTGGAAAATGGTTTTGAAAATTATCTAATAGTAAAGTTTTGACAATAATGCAAATAAATTGCTTATTTTTTAAGATATTGGGCTAAAACTTGCTAGGGTAGTTCATCAGTGTGTGTACTATCCAGGGGCTCCGCCACGGTTTTGGGATTGGGGGGGGGGTCCGGCCCAAAACACAAAACCTCGCTGGTGGATCCAGGGTGGGTATTTTGGGCGAATTCAACCCCCCTCCTCCCCTTTCCCGCAGCTCCATATTCGATGAAAAAGTTCATTTTTTCTTGAGTTCAAAGAAAAATTAACATTTTTATCGGGAAATCTTTGCTTCAAACCGAAAAATCAAGGTCCAGTTTGCACAAGGAATCGAAAAACCGAGAAGCGGATCCCATTGACACCGACATGGTGGCCTCTCAAATCAACGTTCTTGAGGAATGAGGGCCGCTGTTGCGCGCTCCAAAGGCGGTGTTAGCCATCAGACAGCGCATTAGGCTCTCAGTGACTGGCATGGGCTTGGGAATTCAGGGACCTTCATAGGCGCTCAGATATATATGTAGGCTCTAATTAGGCAAGTGTCGGGTCCTCCAAGGAAGTAGTTAAAGGAAAGCGCAGGGCTTTAGGAGTCGTTGTAGGGATTTGAAAACCCTGCCCTCATATAGCAGTAAGGGGTCCTAAGAGAATGATATTCAGTCTCTGTGATTAGGTGTGACCTAACTTGACCTGAAAATGGATATAAAAATGCTGCACTAGGAATCAAAGGTCAGGTTATGGGGATCCTGCAAGTTGCATTCAGAGCCCTGTGCAAATTATTGCAGATTACCTCAGAACGGTGTGAGGGCTGCTTAGACTAGTATGGTGCTCGAAAGACCGGCTTCGACCCCCCCCCCCTCAGTACTGTCTGGTGACCTCACATGGTAAGAGGATTCTCAGATCGATTTGAAGCTCTTTTGGGGCGGGTATTCATGTGTCTAGGTGTCCTGCAAGCTGGACCCCCCCTCACGAAATTATAGCTTAATACTAGCATGCTTAGCTAATACTAGCAATCTTAAACGCTTTCATAGTAATCACAAAATGGTAGAATAATGACACTCCCGTACATGTTATAGGTCGGCGAGTGTTGAGCGATTCGTGAGTGTGTTACAACATTTTAAGGGTTCCCTACATTTCTAGATCTTAAATTCCTTAGCTTTGCGACTGTCAACACATTCTAAATTATTCAACACATTCTGTGAATGATTTAGTCATTCTTACGCGAAAACAAGCTTATAAATATTCGGAATATTGGGGGGTAATGTACCCCCGAGGTAAATTATTGGGGGAGGGGTCCGGACCCCCGCTACTCCCTGTGGTGGAGCCCCTGGTACTATCACATGTATTCCGTGTTTTTTTTTTTTGCGAAAAATAAAAGAAATGAAAAAAATTGTAATTGTAAAAACATATATTTCAAAATTTTCTAATCTTCGAAAGTATGAGATTTTACCTAGTTTGATAGCTACTTACGTGTATTTTTAGTTCACTGATGCAAAGAAATTGGGGGGGGGGGGGGGA